AAATCCTCACTGAAGCAGACACAGCTTGGCTTAGCTTAACAGTGCATAGTTAACCTGCTGCACAGCAGACATCTCTAACCGGAATGATCGGCAGAAAATACAAAAACTCAAGTTGCCATTTCAAGGGAAGGAGAGGTGGGCGTTATTATTGAATTACAGACAATGGAAGGAAAATAAGAAAATATATATTCAGTGCTGAATGAAGTAAATGAAAGACAAAAAATAAATCCTGAAGCTCACTCATATTAACATTTTGAATATTCCTAGCTTTTAAAGAAATATAATAAACTATAAATTAGCTTAAATGTTACTATATTAACCGTTTTTATATATGCAGTGCAGTGTTGTTAAATACATGTTGTGTAATCATATCACCATCCCCTTAAGAATTCATCTTGCAAAACAAACTCTGTAGCCATTAAATAATAACTCTCAGATCTCCCTTCCTCAAGATACCGGGAATCACCATTCTATTTCATCTCTATGATTTTGACAATTTTAATAGTCTCATAAAAGTGGCCTCATAGTTGTTTGTTTCACTGAGCATAATATCCTTAAGTTTCAGACATAATGCAGCATATATGAAAACGTTTTTCCTTTTTTTTTTAAAGATTTATTTATTCATACAGAACTGGGGTACAGGCCAGAGATGCGGAGGGTGAGAGAATTCACCAGAGACAAAGCGGGGAGCAGAACAGGCAGATCCACGAGGTACACTGCTGAGGGGAGCAGCGGGCGGGTCAGGAGAGGTCTGCTGTGCCATGTGGAGCTCCTACAGGGCAGGCGGGGATGGAACTCATGCTGAAGTGGCTTAAGCTTCTTAGTGCAGTGCTTTAACCCGCTGCGCCACCAGGGAGGGCCCTGTTTTTCCTTTTTAAGGCTAAAATAATATTACATTGTATGTGCACACAGTATTTTGCTTATCTAGAAATCTACTGATAAAACACTGAGGTTGCTTCTGATTGTTACCTATTGTGAACATGCTTTCTGTACGGTACCTATTATGAACGTCGGTATACAATAGCTTTCAATAGTTTGCTCTCAATTTTTGTGTGTGTATCTAGAAGTGCAATTATGGATCATCTATTTCTGTCACTGAGGGAACACCATACTATTTTCCGGAATGGTTGCATCATTTTCAATTCCCATCTACAGAGCACATGTGTTCCATTTTCTTCTCCACATCTTCATTAATACTTGATATTTTCTGGGAGTTTTGATAGTAGCCATGCTAAGGAAAGTAAGATGGTATCTAATTGTATTTTTGATTTGCATTTACCTAGTAATTAGTGATGTCAAGCATGTTTTTACATGTTTGTTGTCTATATCTATAGCTTCTTGAGAGAAATATCTAAGTTCTTTGCCTTTTTTTTTTTTTTAATTACAAAGCTACTTTTAATACTTCGGGGTGAGCCCCACAGGAATAAAAAACACTGGGAAGGGGTAACCTCCCCTCACCCCCCCGAGAGTTGCCCAGGGCGGGAGAGGCTACCTGAGGGGAAGGAAGCACAAAAGGGACCGACTGCAGACTCAGGGCAAAGGGAATGCCATCGGTGCTGGGACCTGTTAGCACTACAGGAGGAAACGCGAGCATGGTGGGACTGGCTCCAGGCACACAGGTGAAGGGCAAGAGGGTTGGACACGAAGCCAAAATGCTACTTGGGTTCCTCCTTCTCGTTTGCTTTTTCTGCTTCTGCTGCATGATCTCCGAGTCCCTCTGCTTGTGGGCGGCAGCAGATAGCCCGTCATCGTCATCTCGACGCTTTCCTTTAACGGAGTCGCTCTGCTTTTTCATATTCTTCTGGCGGGCGAGCTCGCACTGGTTACCGCGGGTCATGGCAACGGCAGGCAGCGGCTCCGGCCTCTTTGCCTATTTTTTTTTGACTTGGATCATTTGGCTTTTATGTTGAATTTTAGAAATTCCATACAGATTCTAGATTTTCATTTCATGTTAGGCATGGCTTATAAATATTTTCCATTTATATAAAATTATCTTTTTATTTTATTGTGTTTTTTGATACACATTTTTAAAATTTTAATTACGTTTAGTTTGTCTATTTTTTTCTTTTGTTGCCTGTCACCCCCCAAAAGAAATCATTGTCCAATCCAATGATTTGACAATCTTTTTTCTAAGACTTTTCTTATGTTTTTTTCTAAGACTTTATGCTCTTAGACCTTACATTAAATTCATTCATCCAATTTGAATTTTTCTGTTAGGTAAGGCTCAACCTCAATTTTTCTTCTCATGTGAATACCCAGTTTACCCAGTACCATTCGTTGAAAAGATTATCTTTCCCCAGTGACTGGTTTTGGCACTATTGTCAAAACTTTTGATCATAAATGTTATGGTGCATTTCTGGGTATTCTAGTTTATTCTAGTTGTTTGTATGTATGTCTCCATAACAATACCAAAATGCTTTTAATAGCTATAAAATGGTAGTTTTGTAGCAAGTTGAAATCAGGAAGTAGAGTTCTTAAGCTTTGTCTCTTTTTCCAAGATTGTTTTGGCTATTCAGGCTCCCTTGATATTTCACATGATTCTAGAATAGACTTCTATTTCTGCAAAAAGAGTCATTGGAATTTTAGATCATTTTAGGTAGCATGGACATCTCTTTTTAAATTTTTTAAAAGATTTTATTTATTTATGCATGTAGAACTGGGATATAGACCAGAGGTGTAGGGGGAGTGAGATAATTCACCAGAGACAGAGTGGGGAGCAGAATAGGCAGATCGACGAAGTATACTGCTGAAGGGAGTAGCAGGAAAGACAGGACAGGTCTGCTGTACCATGTGGGCCACCTCCGGGGTGGGGATCAAATCCTCACTGAAGCAGACACAGCTTGGCTTAGCTTCACAGTGCATAGTTAACCTGCTGCACAGCAGACAGGGCCCAGTATTGACATCTTAACAACAGCAAATCTCCTAACCTATGAACCTCAGATGTGCTTCTATTTATGTGTCTTCTTTAATTTTTCTGCAAGAAAAGTTTTGGAGAAAGATGAATATGATTATTATCTTGATCATGTTTACAGTTTCATAATTTAAATATGTACAGTTTATTGTCAATTATACATCCACAAAACTATAAAAATTTAAAAAGACCTGATTTAAAGAGACTAGCATTTACAAAGAAGAGTATTATACCAGTCATTTTTAAGTCTTTGCTGTTTATTACATATACAAAGGAATTTTTTTAAATAGATAACATTCAGCTATGTTGAAGCTGCTACATAAAATAAACATGATTTGTTAACATTTAAAATAATGTATCATATTTAAGAGGTCAATTAAATTTTTAAATGTGTATTGAAGTATACTAAGAAATAGTTCAAAAAATAGAAAGATGTCTTGTTTATAATGTTGAAGGTCTCTATATTTGAAAAAGAAAGCAGCCAACTGGTTATTTTTACACGTATTATGCTCAATTTTTTAAAATAAATACAAGAGTGACTGAGTGATTGAATCATAAGTTCTACTATCAAAATATATTCAGAATTTGACTGCTTCTCACCACCTCCATGGTTCCCACTCTGCACAAAGTATAATCATCTGTTCCTAGATTATTAAAAAAAAAAAAAGTTTTAACTTGTTCTTTCTTTCCCATAATATAATCTAATATTAACTCAACCCCAAGAACACCTTTGGTATTCCATTCCTCAAGACTCTCCAAGGTCCTCCGTGGTGGCTGAGGGTCAAAAGTTCAGCACAATCACCACTATGGCTTGAGTTCAATCCTAGCCAGGGAGCTGACTCATATATGGCATAGCTAACTCCTTCTATCTTGCCCACAGCTCCCCTTAGCAATTTATTTCAGTAAGTCTGCCAGTTCTGTTCCCCATTCTGTCTCTGGTGAATCCTCTTACCTGCACCTCTGGCCTACACCAAAGTTCTTCTATGTAAAAATGAATCAAATTTTAAAAAATACTCCAATAGCTTCCTTACAGAAGTTAAATTTTTACAACAAATTTTGAAGCATTACCAGTCCATCTTCCAAGTTGGCTGGCCTTTGTCCTACTCACACATATCAGCCACTCTTCTGCTTTATGTTCTTTGACTTAACCTGCCTAGAATATGTATGTCCCAGATATTCTACAGCCTGTCTTCATTTCTTCTTCAGAGATTTAACCAAATTTCATTCACTTCCACACCATACTTCATTCCATGAATTGTTTTTCAGTGTCACATTCACGTTATTTATTATTTATGTTATTTATTTAGTGTAATATTGCATTGCTTATAATGATGACCCTAATATAGAATGAATTCAATGTAACTCAATAGGCAAGTCTATTACAGGTGTTCGTATGAGGAAAGACCAACTGCAACTTAGATTCATGAGTTGTGTTTATATGTTTTCTCCCAACTGTTAGGCATATTATCCACTACTATACCTATTACTGTGCAGTGAATTACTCCAAAGTTAGCAGACAAAAATGATAAACATTTATTAACTCATGATTTCTGTGGCTCAGAAATCTAGGAATGGCTTAAGTGAATGTTTTTAACTCATTTTCTTTCATCAGGATGCAATCAAGTTGTTGACCAAAGATGTTGTCCTTTCAAGGTCACCAGAGTGAGGAGGAAGAGACACACTTCCACACTCACTCACATGGGCCTCTAAATAGGACTGTCTCATGACAGGGCAGGCAGCCAATATCAAATGATATAGAGAAAACTAGAGACAACACTGAGGACATAAACATCAGAAGTGATATCTCAGCACTGTGTTTTATTAATTAGATATGAATCAACAAGTCTAGCCTAAATTCAAGGGAAAATAATCCATGTCCCTAAATCCTAGGAAGGGAGACTTACAGGAATCTGTCTTAGAGACTGATTGCGATATAAACACAGGCTCTCATTCATTTTGAAAGGGAAAAAAAGTAAATTTTCATTTATTGGATTAACATTATAATAAGTAACAGTTTAATCAGGTACCATAATTGCATTTAATAAAGTGAATCCCCAAAACACTTTTATCAGACTTTTTTTTTTATTTCTTATAACTAAACTTTCACTGTTAGACACTCATTCCATTTGGTCTGAAAGAGCTGTTTTCAAGTCATCTAATTTAACAATTTTAATACTTAAATGTGTAATAGTTGCTAAATTTTAAGCATTATATGAATTAAAAATATATCACTATTATTTTCATAAAAGCTTAAAAGTTAGCGATAAGAATATGTAAGCAATCCTGAAAGGGATAGTAACCCCTAACTGATCTTTAGGAAAGCACTTCTGTTCTGCTTAAGAAAATAAATGATTATAAGAGTTACAAAATATATTATATATGTGCATCATAAATAATAAAAAAATATTCATATCTCCACTTTTCCCTGAATCACACTTAGTTGAATCATGAAAAAATACACTCATTTCAAGTAACATTCCTATTTCCAATGACTCTTTCTACAGGGGCAGCAGGCTGCCCATCACATCAGGACCCTGAACTCATGTGAACTAAGTCAAAATTATTCATTCGTTGTGATCTTCAGTAATACGAATGCTAAAATGGCAGTAACATTACAGGGTAAACAAGTACACTATGAAAAAGAAAAAGAAAGACATGTCATGCTTATTATTGTAAAAACTGAATGATGCACATTGTACTTCTTACCAGGTAAACAAGAGTGCAATTATGCATTGTTATGTAAACTTTTTCTATGGGTCAAATAATCTAATCATGATGAAAACATTACATGGCTATATGCCAAATCCCTTTTATAATGTGAGCTAAGTACAGTTGCTACAAAAAAGATCTTGCAGCAACTAAGATTTATGATTGCTAAATGTAATTCTACAATGATGGGATATAAAGTTTCTCTGTCCTTTAGCAGAGAAAAGGCAGAAGAAAGGGGAGTGAAGAAAGATAGATGGAAGTTATCAACAAAAATTGTTTTATCAATGCATGTGCACATGCACACACACACACATATACATACACAGACTCAGACTCACAAATGGACAGAAGACTAATCATATATATTCTGTGGACTTACATAATGTTATGTCTTTTGAGATAAAATTTAAGGAGAATGCAGTATCTTTCAAAAAATTATCTAAATTGTGTAAACTCATTAAATTTGGGGTGGATGCCCCAGATATTGAGAGGTATGTTTGCTTTCATGACATTGTAATAAGCAATTGATGTAAGCTCAACCAAGAACTTATTCCACAATATAATCATAAGCAGCTCCTCTTTAATTGACCCCTCGCATTCTCACCCAATAGAGTAGTATTTGAGATTTTTCTCCTAAATTTTTAAAAAACTTATCTTGCTCTGTCAGACAAAATCCATTTCTTGAGAGAGAGTAAATCAGAGAAGTAAGCTTATTATATTTATAACTGGAGCAATGTTAAAACAACTTTATATTAGTAGTCTGACTGGGATAATAACCTTCACTCTGTCCTTCACACCAATCAGGTCATTTTCCAAGATGTGAATCTTTTTGATATATTAAAAATGTCTCATAAGAGTTTTTGGAAATTAATAAAATTTAAGTTAGAAAGAATGTGATGAGCTTGCTTGAAATTTGGCTTGGCCAGCTAAACTAACACCACAGGTTTTTTGTTTTTGTTTGTTTAAAGAGTTGTGAGACCATAAGTTTAGGAAGAACAATAGCTGCTCAAGACCTCAAGTACAAATTGCTTTACAAAAAAGTTCTCTCAATTCAAATGTAATCTCTCATCTAATACATATGACCAATCACCAGTCATAGGTCAGTGGAAAGAATACTCTTTATCTCATTTACCAAAAATTCCTTCTGCAAATAAATCAGCAAAAATGTCCCAAATATATTATTCACAAGAAGCCTGAGGCACAGTGCCAGACAGTCT